ATATTACAGGACTTAGTTCATTGGATTAAGGTTGGGGAAAATAATCAGAGGTATAGGATTTTGTGTAAATCCTAATAGTAGGCCTCTTAGTTATATTTATGTGTATTTTAAATTGTTATTTACCAACTAAAATCTCATGTGATTTATTTTGACTACTTGCACTATTGTTGAATGATTTAAATGTATTTTGTGCCTTGGGCTGTTTGTGGTGTGGTTGTATAGCTAAATAAGGCCGAAATACTAGTACAAATAGAGAATTGAGTAATTAGTTGAGATTGATGGTTGTCATATTGATCTTTGCAAATTAACTTCCCCTTATGTTTTTGTAAATCAAGGGATTGAGCATTGAAATTATAATTTATGTGTGATTGTTTGGTTGTAGTATATTGCACAAGTTCTGTACAGCTTATTAAATGTGGTTTAAGGTTTAGTGTAAGCTTTTGACACTTGCGTTATAATTGGGAACCCTAGTTGTATATTTATGTGAAAAAGGAGTAAGTTTTGTAAATGATGTCCAATTTTTTTTAGAAAAATGATTTGGTTATAAGGTTTATGCCATTAGCTAAAGTTAAGAGAAAGCTCTCTGTAGACATCTAGATCACCTCAATTAGACGTCAGACAGAGAAATGAGACGCGTTGAAAGTTCATCCCAGGAGTTGTCATATGACACTTTATGCTGTCATGAAATATGCAATTTGCCAGGGCGTATGACATAGAGAGCAATATGCCACTGTTCACATAACACAAGTCGCGACACACTTGTCTCCACTGCATTAATTTCAACATTAACTTGTTTTAGATCCCATGCTTCAGTATATATTCTAAACTTTGACTTGTTGTTTAAAGGAAGTGTTTCGGTATGTTTTAAATTTTTATTCATGAAATCTTAGGATTTCCATTTATGCAAAATGATGAAATTTGATAATCAAGTTGGTTTATCCAATGGTTACCTTAGTTTTTAGATATTAATTGTGTTTATGTAATAAGTTTTGCAAACCTAGTAATTTTTTTAATGTTAGACCCTTGATTACCTTAATGATAGAGATTAAGGTAGATTAATACGGGTAGTCTTCCTTGTCTACTTAGAGATTTTACATCCCACATTTACACTTAAATTATGGATACTTGAATTTTAGGGTGTAATAATTACTTGACCAACATCATCCCCTGTAGGAACTAGTGATATTGACTATCCAACATTATGTTTAACCCATAACATGCCCGTGGGTTAATGGCAATACTAAGCACATTTAATAAATAGATATACCAACCACTTTGCACAAAATCAATAAAGGCCACACCATATGGCTTTTCCAATAATGCCCTTTACTAACACTTGGGTGAACTCCCACGCATAAATCATCATGCAAGTTTATTAAACATATGCTAGACATTCCTATAGGCATATCTCAATAGTTCAATTTAAGAACTTGTATGCTTATTACAACTCATAACTTTATGTTCACATAACCAATACATGGCTAATCTAGGCCCCACAATTCATAATCACAATAAACATGTGATACCTCTGTGTGTGTGTTCGTGTTCGTTAAGTAAAACTCATCACATAAAGACTTGCTTCACAATTCAAGTATCAAACTTAAAGACAATATAATTATGTCATGCTTTCATTGCTCATTCCAAGCCATCAATAACATTATAGAAATCATAATTTGCAAACATAGTGATATACTAAACTTAAATTTATAGTTATCTTAACTCTTGGGTTTACTACTCTAAGAATGTAACTTTGGATTTCTCGAGGGAGTTTTCAACCAACACTAGCTCCGAAAATTATCACTTTACAATTAATAATCCAAAAACAATGTTAATAACTAATCATCATTAATTAACCCTTAATCATGATTAAGGCCTAATACTTTCATTAGCATGATTGAGCACATCCAACCCCAAAACTCATTTTCATTAGCTTATTGAACTTCTAATAAGCTTAATACAGATTACTTGCTAGTCCTATTAATTTAAACTTAATTATTTAGCATTAAGGTTAACTCTAAACCCTTCATCACTTGCATTTAATGCTCCCAACAACTAAAACTAGGGGCATAACACTTAAACAACTTTCCTTGGACTTCATTATTGGAGTCATTAAAGTGGTTGGACTAGCCCTTAAGTTCGAACCCTACTCTCACAGCCTTACAAAATTGAAGACAATGCACAAGAATGGTAGAAGAGGAGAAGAAAGGACTTACCTAAGAGATTAGCACCCTTAAACAAGCTCTAAAAAGCCTGCTTTCGCGCTAGGGCATTAATTTCGTTGCTTGTTGCTTACTAATACATAGCCATTTTCTTGCTCATTACTTGTTGCGTACTAACACGCACAGCCATTTTCTTTCCTCGTTTTCTTGCTTGATTGCTGGTTAGTGAAAGCCGACTCCTTTCTAGTGTAACTATAGAGGGAGAAGTCAAGCTATTAGATCTAATAGCCTTAGATATATGCCTTTCAACTGGAAATGGAGATATAGCTCGAATAAAACCAGAACATTCATTCCCGGATTTGAAGGCACGAAAGGAGGACCTGGGCACAAAAGGGTGGGGAGAAAGACCAGAACTTCACTCTGCCTCTTCTAAATATCTATACTAACCTTAACAGAGCTTTTAACTCTCTCTCAAACTCCCTTTCTTTTTTGCCTGGTCAAGCTATAAACTTAAGATTTAAAATTTCATCACATCCACTGGGGCCCACTGTACTATCTGTCGTGATGGATGGCTTAAAATGTGCAGCATCACTTAAGCCTATTATTTTGGGCCTAAAATGGCTTAATAACTTCCTAAGCCTTATTTTAAACCCCTTTTATGGTCCAATAGACCTATAAGGCCATCCAAACTCTATAATTAACTTCTAATAACTAATTAAGTCTCTTAATTAATCAACTTAATAATTGAATTAAAATTTAAAATGTTATAATTCTCCTCTCTTATAGGAATTTTGTCCCTAAAAGTGGATAAAATCAGTAAGTAAACAATCACAAGTAGTCGAGTAAAATATTCATCTTGGACAACAATCTATCAATCATGTATTAGATCACCTAATGCAAACAAGTCACAAAGCAAAACAATCACTCAATTATACTTATGCAAACAAGTATGGGAACTGCTGACGCATCTTCTCCTCACTTTTCCAAGTGGCATCTGCAGGTGTCATTCCCTTCCAAACCACCTCTACTAACAGAATCCTCTTATTCTTTAGCTACTATCCGTGGTGACTACAATCTTCTTCAGCTCGGTCCAGTAAGTAGGGTTGTCATGAAGCGCTACATCTTTCAATTTAATGACAGGAGACGAATTTAGATGGTATTTCTTCAATTAAGATACGTGAAACATGTCATACACACCCAACAAGTGAGGCAATAAGGCAATTTCATAAACAATTGGCTCGATCCTCTTCAAGATCTTAAATAGACTAATAAATCTCGGTTTTAACTTCTTTGCCCAAATTGACCTCCAATACTGATCATTAATGTTACCTTCAGCAAGACATAGTCTCCAACCATAAACTCAAGCTGTCTTTGCCTCTTATTAGTATAGCTCATCTATCAACTCTGAGTCATCAATAACTTTTGTTTAATCATTTCACTCTTGTTGGTGGTCTTATCTAACAATTCCACCCTAAAAAGCTCCTCTTACTTAACTTTGTCCAACAAAGTAGAGATTAGTATTTTCTTTTATACCAAGCCTCATATGGTGCCATCTATATCCTTAAGTGGTAAATATTGTTGTAGGAGAACTCAACTAATTGTAAATGGCTCTTCCAACAACATTCCAACTCAATTACACAAGCCTTCATCATGTCCTCTAGAGTCTAAATCATCCTGCCCATTTGACTATCAATCTGTGGGTGATAAAGTATGTTAAACTTTAATCGAGTACCCATCACTCGAGGTAGGGTTCTCTAAAAGTTTAAAGTAGACCTCAGATCCCTATCTGAAATAATATTCTCAGGCACCTTGAGAAGCCACACTATCTCATTAATTTGGACTTCTACCAACTTCTCTAGCAGGTAAGATATTTTAACGGCCAAAACGTAAGTTGACTTCATAAGCTAATCCACTCCATTGAGAGAAAAGATCTAGCTTAGACTCTTTCTAGTTCAACTTTAAGATGAGCTTGAGATGGTTCCACTAAGAGAGAAGAGTTAGGGGGAGATAAAATTGATTCAATTATCATGCAGGTGACACCTGTATATATAAACTGTCGCATATGTAATTTTGGTCAAACAAATGGTCAGGCTTTCCTTGTTTTAACAACAGGGGCTAATTTGAACCATTTTGTAATTTTAGGAAGGAAAATGTACTAAAGTATAGTATTGGATGCCGAATGCTTCTAAGGATATAGTTCAAGGATAAAATAATTTTTAACCATATTTATTAACTTGGATTCTTGTATGAATATATGAAATATTTTCATTCATTATTGGTAATTGAGATTAAATGTACAAAAGAAAATAAACTACATATACTCCTCCAATCTTAATTATTGATAAAAAATAATTTTTACTCTCTCTGTTAAAAAATATAAGGCATTTTTCGAGGAGTTTGATGTTAAAAAATGTGAGGCATTTTTAGTTTTTTGAGGTATAATCATTACCTTTTTTTAAAAAAATATCTTTATTGATAATGACTTTATATTTATTATAGAGTGTTTAATAGGGATAAATATGAAAAATTAAGGTTAGTTTAAAAGTAAATAATTACTTTATTGGGGTGAGATTCAGTTAAAAATACTTTATATTTTTAAAAAGAAGGAGTACTCTTATTTATTAAATATTAATAAATGTTATTAAAATATATTTAATAGAAATAAAGTAATAAACTTTAAAATTTATTAATTTTAAGTTTTTAAAATTTTTAATAAACCTGAGTATTAACTTATAAATCTTCGAAAAATGAAGTGTATGTCAGTATATGTATAAAAACCATCGTTATTTTGTGAAAACTCCGTTTTAACTTTTGCGATGAAAAGAAGCGTTTGGGTGAATTGGTGCGGATAGTTCGTAGTAATATACTTTGAGGATCCTTTCTCAGTTTCCGTGCAATTAAGAAAACCAGAGTTGCTCGTGAGAAAGACTGATCCTGCTCCACGATCCCTGCTACGACTTCACTCTATCGCCGAGGATCTTTCTTTAATTCCCCTCTTTCAACTCCCGCAAGCTTCTTTCTTGAAAAGTGGACCAAACGGCCTCGCCGTCCTGTTCTCTTTTCCTCTCACTCTAATTGACCCTTCCCTTGAGGATGGGCTTTTTCAGAAAGATAGCTGGATTATTAGGGTTTGTCAAGGACGACGTCCACGAATCCAAAGGTGAATCCGACGACGACAACGATGGCCAAGCTCCCCCACGCGTCCGTTTCAAAGAAACTGGGATTCCCCGCAAAGGGTTTGGCGTCAAAGTCGAGGTTCCCGTCGATCGCCCTCACCTTGGTCCTGTTATTATTCCTTCTTCGTCCGGCGACGGTGGAGTTCAGGTCTTTCATTCCTCAATTCGCGCTCTAATTATTTCATTTTTGTGCTTTCGGCTACTTGTAGTTCGTAGGGACGGTTGTATTTTTAACGCGGCCGTTGTAATTTCATAATAGTGGAGCCCATGTTTCTATGCAAGAACATATTTTGGATTTGACAGCTCTTGATATTATTGCTGTGAAACTGTTGAATCTTTATGTTTTGTTTCTTGGTCCAGACGCTTGAATTACTGAAATCTGCCCCCTCCTCTCAAATTTCCCGCTGCTTCAATTTTTGAAGTTCAATCCTGGTTATCTAATCTAAATATGTGAGAAGAAGGAATTTTTAATTCATAAGCCCTACATTTAATGCATCTTATAAAAGCATCCACTGTTTCGGAGAAAGGAATTTCTTTATAGTCGCTTGCTGTGAATGGCGATAATTGTATCTTTGGATCTTCTATGTTGTGCTTGAAGTCGTTTGTTGTTGGATACTTTATCAAGGTAAAAATGTTAAGGTGCAAAAATTATGAAGAAAAAGAAATCTCGCTTGCTTCCGTGCACTAGGGACAAACAGGTATTTTTGAAAGGTTAGCGAGCTGAGTCTGGTGCCTTTAATCGTGATTTCTACGATGGACGGCATGTGTTTTTAGAAATTTTTCTTGTGTTTCTTGCTAATTGGCATCCGGGTACTTGGGTCAGTGGTCCTTGCATAAGTCCTTGTAAGGTCTCTGTTGGGCGGATCAAAATTTGTTCCATTGTAATGGAGAACAAAGCAGGGAGAGTACCTGCACAAATACTGCCCAGAACAAGCTAATCTGACACAAATACAGCTCAACTTTCAAGAATACTAGAAACAGATTTAAATCTAACCGTGTAGTTCTCTATCGGTATTATTACATTTGAAACTAATAGAATATCATTGCACGTGTCTAACATTGCTACCAATCTGAAGCATAAGTTGTTCTCCACTCTGAGCGCAAACATCGCGCATGACATTGTCACAGTAGATCAAGACAAAGAGAGCAGGGTTTGGCTCGAAGCAGTTGAGTCCCTGAATGAGTGGCCGGTGTACCTCATGTTTACTGAGGCAACTTTCTTGAGAATGTAACATTTTTGTAAGCATTATAGCCATAGTGATGTAGGTAAGAACCCACTCCTAAAAGCCTTGCTGTGAAAATTTTGGTAGCCTTCATTGCATATCAGATTTTTATGTCTCTCACCTGGTATATATTGGACTCTCCTTCCTCTATCACAAAAGTCTCTCGATGAAGTTATAGTAATAAACAATTGATTGATTTTGAAATAGAAAAGTAGGTGATTTTGTGCATAGGGTTTCGTTATTTGTTCATTCCATGGAATTTATCAGGTTCATTTCTGCAACATTGTTTAAGTACATGCCTGTGTATGATACAATGAATAAAGCTGCCTTTGGGACCCAATATATTCTGCTGTAAAAGTTACATTGCTCTGGAGTAAAACTTACTGTTTTAGCTTGCTACTTTATCCCTTCTTGGTTATGCATCTATTCCCTGTTCTTATGTTTTGCAATCCTTGTTTTGTCTCTGGTACTTTTGTTGCATATAACTATTTGGTTATCTCAGCTATGAGGTTTAGAATTGAAGTAGGACAGGTTACATCATGTTTTGTTTTGTCATCTGCTTGCTGGTGGTTAATATATCTTTTTCCCCTCCTTAAATGGTTCTTCCATCAGGGTCTGAGGTGGTATGCTGACCGCCTTAAGATAGATGAAGATGGAGATGTAGCTGATGAGTTCCTTGATGAGGTTCCTCCAGATACGTCAGCACCTCAAGTAAATCATCATAAATTAGTGGCAACGTTTAAAGTTAAGAATGGTACCAGGCCGGCCAAAGTGAAGGGACAGACCTTATTAGATGGGAAACTTCGGCAGCATGTGGAACACCAGGGCAGATTGCAGTGGGTGTAAAGATCTTTCTAGTAATTGATATGGATTTGGATTCTTTGGGCTTTTAATGTTTAGTCTATACATACGGTGGGAATCTGCCATCAAAACTCTAGTCTTTTAATTTTAAATGAGCTTTCCATGACGGTTCCTTTTTGGTGTTTAGTTAACTTTGATCTTACATCAATAATTGGATATGTCTGGGAACTGCTGCATAAAGTCTCTGCAAGTTAAATGTGCACGGTAAGGAAGTCGAAGCACGTTACCCTAGAAATTTAATTGCCTGTCTGGCACAGCCTGCGTCAGTTGTTTCAGTCAGGCGATTGAAATGTTTTGGGTTCAGCGATCTCAAAATGCGGATAGGCGCCTGCGTGAGCAGTACTATTAAAACCTTAGTTGACAGCTGACTGAGTTTGGAGTTTAATATTCTTGGTGTAATGGTGTTTTCCATTAGATGCATTGAAATTAAAGTTTCCTGTGCCTCAGTGAGGCATGGTAGATTTGTATATTGAAATGAAACGCTGTCTATGTTTGTTACTATTATGTTTCTAGGACTGGCAGTTTGTTCTATGCTCCATGTAGTTAATAATGGTTTTGGGCTCCTAACGCTGACATTGGCAACACATTTGTAATGCTTCTCAAATACGGGTCACACGTGGCTCTTCTTTTATAATGGCCACGGCTTGAACCACAAGATCCACTGCTCAACTTGGTGCCCCAGCAGCCCAATGTAGCTAGCCCGACCCTTCTTTCAAAGTTAAAACTAAATTCTCTTGAAAAAATAGAGAAACGGTGACAAATAATTTAACCCAATAATATTACTAAAATAATTATGAACTGGTTTGATTTTGTTTTCGCTTTTTTATTTAAAAAATATGTTAGAAACCATTTTAAATAATATTTTTTAAAATAAAATAATAAATTTATTTATGTTAATTTAAAAATAATTTTAACGTAAAAAATTGGTCAATGGTGGTGATGCTAGCCTCTCATTCAGGGGCTCAGAGAGATATTTGGTTCTTTTAAATAATTTTTTTTAATTAATATTATTTTTCTCAAATCCTTCGTCTGTCCTTATAATTTTCCCTACATTTTTCTTTTTTTAGTGCAAATTCACAGTAGCTGGCTGTTGCAGTAACCATGGAATAAAGAAAATGCAGGACATAAAAGGAGAGACAGATGCGGCATACATGTGTCCAACAATCATTGGATGAGTGGAGATGCACAAATACGATCTAATCCTGCAGCGCAAGCGCGTGAATTGGTTGTCCATGGATAGTGTTACCTCTGGTGTCGTGAGTCGTGAGTCGTGACTCAACGGTGAGCTCAACTAGAGGCAAGATGTCACTTCGAATTCCCTGTAACTGCTGCTGCATTTCCGACCTAAAGTGGCGATCCTTTCCGTCAAAGACCAATTACTGTTTCAATTCTTCCAAATGCCGCCGCAAGATAACGTCGGAGCTCCAAACACAGCCCCCACTCACTGCTAGGGCCGATTACTCCTCTACATCTGTTCCCACCCATAAAGTTACTGTGCACGATAGACAACGGGGAGTCGTTCACGAGTTCCTCGTGCCGGAGGTATTGGTTTATTACCGATTGTTTCCCAAGAATATGCCGAAAAAAAGTTTATTTAAATCTTTCCGTGTTCCCCATCCTTTTGCAACGTGGCCATTCGTTGATTTTCTTGACTCCTTGTTTTAGTAGTAACGGCATTACTAAAACTCCTAAATTATTTATTTATGAATTTTTTTTATTCGTTCTTCTCCATGATACTGGTAGTGATTATATGGTGCTTTCCTTATTCTTTCCGCTTGTGGTTATGGAAAGGATCAAATTCCCCCCTTTGTTTTAAGTATTCCGTCATCTTGTGATTTATTTAAATGCAGGATCAGTATATATTACACACTGCTGAGTCCCAGAACATTACGCTTCCCTTCGCCTGCAGGCACGGTACTAAGTATTCTCCATTTTGTTAACTGTCTAATCTCTTTTCACTGTAATAAATAATAACGCATAACTCACAACCAAATTTTCGCTCTAATTTCTTGCCGGACCGGTTTCCATTGTGTAGCATTTAACTGTTTTAACAAATGCTTGTTTCATAATATTTATATATTGTCATGAGTTCCATTCCTATGCTTGGTTCCACGAGCGTTACCTCTGGCCTGCCAGGCATCCTCAACTTGTCCAATCGTAGTAACTCATTTGTTTCCTATATATATATATATATATAACTCTTGCTTTATTAGACTTTGGCTCCGTAAATCGTGTGATGCATCTTGACACTTACGTTGCATGATGCATGGTTTGCCATCCAGATTGAATATTTTTGAAGATTTTGATGCTGACTTCCTAATGCTGATTGCTTGTTCTGGCAGGTTGTTGTACAAGCTGTGCTGTACGCGTAAAAACTGGAAAAATTAGACAGCCAGAGGCGCTAGGGATATCTGCTGAATTGAAAGAAAAGGCATGTATAAAGTGTTTACATACTGTTAAGCTTGAATCTGTAGAGTTGGCTTACGTATCAATGCATAAACTCTTCATGCTCTATCTTGTTATCCTGAGGTATTTGATAACAGAATTTATGAGTACAATTCTAATTTGTTGCACGAATTATTTCGAAAGAAGAAAGTTAGAACTTCGGTTTTATTTTCATTATGGGGTGTAGGAGACTAAACTGGGAAGACTAACCAATTTAATCTGGGCATCCTGTAACAAAGTAGAGGATGGAAATGGTAGCAGCTGGTTCAGAAAAAGGACTGGTTGTGTTGGCAAGAATGATAATTTGGATAAATTTAATGTCCTAAAGAGGGGGGGGGGGGGCGGTAATGAAAACATTTTATTTGATTTAGAAGGATTTAAGTTTACTCTGCTTGACTCTCCATTCGAAGTATCTTACTTATATGTTACATTAAATATGTAAAAAAAAAAAAATTAATGCTATCCTGTACCTGAAAAAGAAATAATAATAACGATTGTCTAAAAAAATGGTTAGCTTGATGTCATTGACCGTCCTTTGTTCAGTATAGGCATTCCTCTGTCACTGATTTTATTTATTTATTTTTTGAAAAAAGAAGAAAATTCAGACTGCTGTAATGTATATTCTGAGCGAGACAGGTGTATGGAACTTATGTGTCTTTTCAGGGTTATGCGCTTCTTTGTGTGGGCTTCCCGACTTCTGATATTGAGGTAGAGACTCAAGATGAAGACGAGGTATGCGCTGTACTGCAATTATCTTTTGATATGAAATGTTTTCCCTCTTGAGTGATTGAATTTAAAAATTTAGTAATTGAATGAACTTATGAAATATTGTTGCTGTTCTTATTTCTTCCTGATTCCTGCTGTGGAACCTTGTTGTTGATGCAAGAAAATTGGTGTATCTTTATTAAACTGGAGGCCACAAGCTTCAGCGAGAGATTATCACCTGCAGATCTCCTTTGGAATAGATCTGTTTATTTTGCCTCTGGGTGGATGCTCAGTTTCTTTTTTTTTTTTTTAACTTTCCTTTCCTTTCCCCCTTTTCTTATATATAAAACAAGTTCAGTTTCTTTGGAATAGAGCCCTTTTGAGTTTGAAGTTTATCTCCCTTTTGCTTTGCCCTTAGTAGTGTTTTCCCCTATAAGACCAAAACCATTAGTTGAGGAGGATTCCCCCTCCTCCTGCTCCTTAGTCGGTGTTTGTGTGTATCCTGAATTCCTGATTATGAATTATGGGAGTAACAATGTTTTTGTCGCTTTCAGGTATACTGGTTTCAATTTGGACGATATTTTGCTCGAGGACCTGTGGTAGGCTCCATTTTCCTCGACAGTCGAGTACTTAAATTGCCAAAGGGTAAAAGTGGCTTATATTCCTCATTTTAATTGTGTTACTTTGACATCTTCTATGTTACAGGAGAGAGATGACTATGCGTTGGAGTTAGCCATGGGCGATGAATAATCAACTTAGAAAAATTCTATGGCGCAAAGGACGAGAATTTCATGTGTTTCTCCTTCTCAAGTTACTGCTCCCTGGATTGTAATTTTGACCTCACAATAATCTTCCAAGCATGCTTTACATGTACGATGTGTCCTATGTAGGATTTGGCATAGTGAACTGTAGATCACCCTTGCTTATTTAACGTTGTGCTTCCATGACTCAATTTATATTAGCTATCTGAACGTTGAAGCTTCATGCATGCTTTTACCATAATTTCCAGACCAAAAATTCATGCACCCGAAAGAAAAGGGACAAGAAAACTGAAGAAGCCTTGTAATATGAAGAACCTTGTCATCCTAACATTTTCTGCAACAACTATTACAAGAAGTCTTACCTTATTACGTAGATCGTGAATATAGATTGTATTATATCATTGTATGCCACCATTTCTGAAAAACAAAATGCTGAAGGTTGCAAAGCCTGGAAAATTAGGAGTGGGGAAAATGAACACAGGCCAGTTCAAACTTTCAAACACCAAATTATATGCACTTCAATCTTGAAGACGAAGGCCTTCATTGATTCAATTGAGGTCCATGATCCACCTAAGCTTGGAGAAAAAGAAGCAAATAGTTCACTTGGTTACATTGCGAACGAGACAATGTTACCACTAAGATTTCGGAGGCTATACCAAGGTGGTCCTGTATTCAATTAAAAACGAGAGCGACTTCAGACGAGTATGGTGGAAATTACAGCACCAAGCCACGCCTACCTCTCCTTCCTGCCGCCCAAAAAGGGTCCCTCAGGGCTTACAAACAAAGGGTCACTTCAACATTGAAAGCTACGCACTGATCAGTATATGGACCTGGAATCAGATAAGCATGCGGTTTTTTCCCCACTGAAGATTACTCTCTACTCGCTTCAGAACTAAGGTCTAGGGAACATAAAATTTACCCGCTCGTAGAGCCAATTAATATTGTGATATTACTTGCTTCAGGAGTAAAGAGACGAGGACGGCCAAGTAGTATCTTTGTAGAATAATGAACGCCTTATACTCCAAAAGGAGTAATTTTCGATTGAACTGGACGTAATGGACATGTTCGGATCATTCACTGTGACTGATTCTTGCTACCTCTTAAAAAGGACTGACAATTTGACAGGCTTCGATTGGAAGGCAGAACAAGTGCCAAGTAGAGTTTGAAAGCTGAAAGGGACGTGTGTTTCACACTCGGGTTAAGCTACCAGAAAGGTTGCTTCCGTTATGTTATTCTGGGAAAGATATGGCCCAATTTGCCGGTCTGCCTGAAATTAATTTACCCCACAACGCCAACCTTAAAATAAATAACCTGTACTGCAGAATCCTCACCTCAATTTCATTTCTGAAATATCTAAACGGACCCTGATGTTATCTTTTTCAATCATGAATCAACCCCATCTTGTGTTTTCCTTGACTGCTTTTTTTTTTTTGGTGGGGGGGGGGGGAGGCGTACTTGGACCTTATGCTCTGCTGATCCCTAAAGTAGCAAGTATCTGAAAGGTAAACGAATTAATGATGTGTTTGGTGCTCCTTCATAAATAACTTATCACTTCATCAGCAATCGCAAATACGGTGCACCTTATCTAGAAGAAGTGGATTTTCTTAAACACTCATTACCAGGAATCTTATATAAGATAATAATAATAATAATATCCTTACACTCAATCCACCGAAATCATTCATTAATTCACGCAAAGGAAAAACAACTCTATACATGTGACTTGGAGAACTGCTGCTCTCAGATACGCACTCTTTACTAGGAGAAACACGTAACACGCAAATGGAGGTTGTGGTAATGATTTGGTCACAAGTTTAGGTACTAAACTTCTGCTCAGCCGTGCTTGCTGAGACCTGCAACATTCAGCAGCACAATCGTTTAGCATATGACAACAATCCATATAAAAAAAAATTCACGTTACAGAGAAAATCATTCTCTTCTTCCATTTATGACATTATTAAACAAACTAAGGCAAGCTCTTTTTGCACACTAGGAAATTTCTACTCTTCCCTCTCATCAAAATTAAAACATCAGTCATGAATGTCAAAGAGGATAAAAATTTATTCGCGGGACCGTGTGACAAAGATATTAGCTGTTATTAACTGATTATAAATGGTTTGCCTTTCCTACTGGCTAAATAAGAAATGTCATTGTTAGAAATTGCGATACAGCAAAGGGTCTTCAATTGCTTAAAAAAGGCATCTTCTCTAGTAACTACCAGTCAAAACAGAATTATTCCCTCTATCAAGCATGGAACAAAAATATTACCAGAAACCTGCATAGTAAGGAAAAATAATTAGATTGTACTAACCCCAACTGATGTCACAAAATTGCAAACAGCGCATTTCACGGATCTTGCTCCATATTGGTACATCAATAGCATTCTGCAGTTTCCACAGTTGACATGCGCCACCTGATTTGCTGTCAAAATGTGAAGCAATCTAAGTTCCAAACATGTCTTGAAAACCGATGAAGGCGTGAATGAAAGCTGATCAGTACCTTCCAAAGCTAAATTGACGGTGTGACAGCAAGAGCATTGAACACTTGTGGCTCCACGGATGTACATGAGTAAAGTGTGGCAGCCTCCACAAACCAACTGGGCCATTTCAGTGCCTGTCCACACAACACACATGCTTCTCCTTTGACTGTCTAATTAACAGTCCCTTGACTGAAAAAAGCGATAGGGATAGGTAGCAAATTGAACTTGAGAAGTGAGAAGAAACTAGAGCTTACCAGGAGGAGGCACAGCTGTGACTGCATTGCAAACAGCACAACAAACAGAGGTGGCCCCAACGGGATACATTAGAAGGTTTCTACACCCAGAACACACAAGCTGACTCTGTGCCCCTGAATACCCACGCAGATTTTTACATGGTTCATAAGTGTTCAATAAATGACCAAAATACGTAAGTACTACGGTCTCTTTTTCTTCTACCATTCCCCACTTTCTTCAAGGGAATAGAGTGTTCCACATACTACTGCATACAAATTACAGCCATGCATCTTAGCAAACTCGTTTACATACCCATTATCCCATTTTTTCTGTGAGTTTAATAGTAGAATTTGGCATGTTTCAAGTTTATATTCATCTGTTCATCTTAGATTCTAATGACTCGTTCCTTCAGGTAATCCTTATTTTATTCTTCGACGTTTGCTCTCTAGTCTCTACACAAACTTTTGGGAGTAAAATTGGATTATTTATGACACAATGGAAGAAGATGAAAAGCAAAAATCTCCAACCGAGACATCGCCAACATTAATGAGAAAACCATCCACGGAAAAAGCAATATATATACCATTTGCCGGAGGAGTATATGGAGCTGGGGGCGTCGGATTGGGGGCAAGTGGAACTGGCATTGTATAAAGCCTAAAAACTGTTGTCTTTCTCTTCCAAACTCTACACCCAGAAATATACATCCCTTCTTCCCATTTTCACAATTCCTGGAAAAAAAAAAAAAGAGGAAAGAATGAAATGCTTCGAAAATATATAAGAGGCAATCGGGATGCATCCACAGGGTGACCATGGAATAAGAAGAAAAGCTGTGACGCAAAGGGTGTACCAGAACCATATAGCGTAACATTCAAGGAAGACTTCCCCCTCAGAAATGCATTCATAAAGCTAGAGGTTGAGGAAGGAGAGGCAGAAGCAGAGAAGCCTAAGTCCCTTGAAGAGAAACGAAATTTAGTTGAATAATAACGTGAAAGTGGGGTGAACACCTGCCCTTGGGAAATTCTACAGATGAAGAGGAAAGAGAAGAGACACAGAGCAAGGAAGATAAGCAGGCATTGGAAAGAAATAAGAGTCAGAAAAAGGCTGAAAAGGTATTTGCAAAATTAGGTTAATTAGTTTTTTTAACCTCGTTTTCTAAAGTGTTATCCTTTGGGAGTTGAGAAACTATCACTGTCTGCTTTCTCCTTTTATATCTGACTGATTCACTGCCATTTCTGTTGGTGGCATATCAAGATCAACTCTGTCAAAGGAATCCCGGGTCCTACTTCTCTCCCTATCTCTCTTTTAAGCTTCGCCATTGGTGTAATTGCAAAGCATGCACGTGATCAGTGATGCTTACTACAGCCACACTCTTTTATTTCTCTCACGGGAGTTGGATGGCTCTTGACGAACCACGTTGCCTGAACCTGGACAGGGCAATCAGGGCCATCCGTAGCTAAAACGCGACTCGATGATGCAGAAATAGAGCCAAAGCGCAAGCAGGGTGAGGCTTTCACTTTTCAACAAGTGGTCCTGCATCAGCATGAACTTCGATTTGCAGTGAGCTATGAACACTCACATTGCCCTCAACTAACAAGCTTTAAAGGTAGAAACACCAAGACATAGTGAGTGCCAAATGACATTACTGGTGCGATTGGCCAGTAGCGATGTCAAGCTTCTTCATACACACGAGTGGCCCCTGTAATTGTTGTTTTTCTTCGTTTCTGGGTATCACTATGGCAACATGGTATTGTTAACAAGACAAAGATGATGACTTGCACAAGAAGATCGCAGCATGACTTCGGCTGGGGCTTTGCATTATTTTACCGAAAGAAAAGAAAATAATAGAGACGACGAGACGGGAAAAGAAAAATAGAGATACAAGTGGCGATATGGGTAAGTAACTAAAACCTTCTCGTAAGTCTGAAACGTTACAACAAGGCCGTAGATAAGCAGGGGGACCACGAACATGTACTTTTATTGGATTTTCTTCGATCCTACTGGATATTCCTCTCAATATTGTTCTGCAGATGCCCCCCTCAATCATTCTTCTAGAATAGATTATTTATTTATTCTTTTCTTTTTTCCTCGAAGTCTTGGTCAAGTAACTAATTTCTTTCATACGCCCATTTGACCTATTGCTAGAACCACATCCTTTCCTGGTGTGAATGATAGGATGCTCAAATTAGTCCAATGATATCTGGGGATATTGGAAAAAATTTGGGAAAAGTTTAGATGAGTTGGATTCTGTTTTCAAGAATTCAGAGAGATTCACGAATTGAAAAAACACTTACAAAAGGCACCCAGCTTACATCAACAAAAAAGAATTGTAATATAAAGCTAATTAAATCCTGGACATCTTTGGGTCATTCGTGTTCGTTTATATATCCATTAGTGATGATAAAACATAGCGGGAAAATTTGGAGAAAGGGTCAAACTCGGATTGAAGCCAAACAAACGGGTGTCTTCTAATATGGCAACATTAAAAGCGTGCTTTATGGTCTAAGTTCCAATCAATAAAATACAAAAAGTGAAGAAATGGTTTGCATGGAGAAAAGGTTATATAGGCCGGCACGAGTCCCAATCTGCTATCTGATCCATGTCCTAATCCAATAATCTTATCCTCAATCGATCTAATCAAAGTAATATAAATGGATGAAACTGATTAACTGAGATTAGTGAGGGGGACATGCGAGATATGTTAATCAACTCAATCTTCAATGAATTGTCTAAGTTTAAGATGATATTTTTGGGTCCATCAGTAAACGGAGATTTCTGAAAAGGACTGTGGAAAATCACAACAGGGATATTTATCTTCGAGTCTTTTGTTTTCGGCCACACCATTTCAGGTTTATGTCTATGGGCAGCGTCATTGAAGACTTCAAATTCAGGCCTCACCTTACGCCAAAAGAAAGCCAAGAAAGAAAAAGTCTTCCTAGCTCTCTGCCTCAGGTCCTGCCTCCCGGAAATGCGGTGGCCCAACCAGTATTCTACGTTTTTTTTTTTTGGGGGGGAAAAAATGCACTTTCTTGGATTAGTTACGTGTTTTTTAAACAATTATTCTGCTAAAAACATATTAGAAAGTATTGACCTCGAAACCCCCCGCTGGACATAACCCATTTTCTTTTGTTCTTCACCGTTAATCGCGGTTCCCAAGCTTTGCATTAGAGAGAGTTCACTTGAATATCGTGCTATTGTTGGACTCTGCAACTTCACAGCATGTTGGTCACCGGGTGTAACATCTCAAAATTAAATTAAAGAATAAATTAACTAATTAGGCATTGTAATTAATTAATTATGATGATTAGGAGTTGACTTTTTAAGGCCAGATGGCTATTGGGCCTATAGAACCCTTGAGGGAAGTCAAAATAGGGTTAAAAGGAGTTTTGAGCCATTCAAGGAGTAATATCTCCAATATTTAAACACAAAATTAACACATACTTAAGTTTAAAGTAGAGTTATCATGATAATTCTAACTAATGTAATCAATAATAACAGATATTATAGAGAAAAAAAAAGATTAACCTTAGCTATATAAAAATGCAAAAAGCTAAGTAAGAAAACTTTGTAGAAATGAGATTTCATAAATCATTTAATCTCAAAATTGAGTTTAAAAAGTCCTTTAACTATTATAAATCAAAGTAAAAAGTATTTGTGAGGCATGGAAGATAATTAGAGTTGAAAAAAGTCAAAATAAGGTAAAATGAGTCATTTTTTCTTAACAAGAGTACTTGGCTATTACTAGAGCATATTAAGCTGCGGTCAACACTTCCTGTGATGGTTGCAACCAATTCTCTTTTGATTGCAGCCTAATGGTCTTGAGAACTCCTTTGACTGTAGCCAACAATCTATAAGCTATAGCTAAAACTCTTATGATGGCACTCCCAACCATAAACTTTCGACGCGTATAACTTTTAACTTAAACTTCCAATTAAGGTGATTTAAGTGCTCACACATTAACAATTTTATATTCTAGCTAATGGTTTTGGTTTTCATGTCAATCTTGTAACATCCCAATTTAAATTTTAATAGTTAATTTGAGTTAATAGAAATTTTAAAAAATATTTAGAGGTAAGCAAATTAGTAGAAAATGATTATTAAATCTAATTTAGGATATAATTCTAAAAAAATTAAAAAAATTATTAATTAATTAAAAAATAAATAAATAAATATTATTAAATTATTATTATTATTATTATAAAAAGAAAGAAAGAGAAAAGGTAAAAAAAAAAGGAAGAAAAAGAAGAACAAAATTGCTTTCAGTGCGTAATGATCACATTTAATAAAAAAAAAAGAAAGAATGAAGAGAGAGGAAAGAAAAAATAATAAAAAAAATGTGAGACCCACTGAATTTTTTATAAAAACTCACCTGTTTTCTTCATTTCTTCATTCTTTCCTTCGTGTGTGAGCTGAGGCAGAGAGAGCGTCTGTGAGCCAAGTTCTCCGGTACTGGGTTTTAAGGTAAGATTTTTAATAGAATATTTAGGGTGTGATTTTAAGCTTTTCAAGACTAAGTAAGTGTTCTAAAAAATTTTCTTAGTCATCCTTTCTCTTTAGTTTCTGATTTTGTGGTGGTAGAAAATTTAAGATCTGAAAGAAAGATGAATTTATGTTGAATAAATATAGTTTTTGAGGTTATTAGTAATATAATAAATGTTCTAGAATATAAATTTATTGATGATCTTTGAATTTGTGGCTTATGGGTCAAATTTTAGACTAGATTTTTATTAAATCTGAAAATATATATTGATTTATTGAGGTTTAGATGATTATTTGGGATGAGAAATGAATTTTTATGGCTATAGGATTATGATTCTAAGCTAGAGACTCAATTTTTAATTTTTAGGTATTTCAGGTACGAATTTATGAAATAAAAAAATTTTGATAATAGAAATTAGTTTAGAAGTTAATTTTTAGATTATTAATGTTTATTGATGACTAAAAGAGGAGTTAAAAATTTTACTTAATAGTATTAACTCTAGATTTATATTAAGATTGAGATTAGGAATTATGTTACATTTTTAATTCTATTATTAGAATTATTTTATTAGTTTTAAAAATTAAAACTAATATTTATAAATAATATGTTATTTATAGATTGTATTATTGGTGAAAATTGTGGTGGGAGAGAAATTGTAAGGAATAATTTATCGAAAAAGCTACAAGGTAACCATGCTTTTAATTTGTGATTAGTGTTACTTCATGTTAATTGGGTGATTATTGAGAAAATTATGAATTTTGTAATATTGTATAATTGTGCAATATTATTATGAATTTGTTTCATTATTATGGGAGGTATTGAGAGACTTGCTATTGTTGTTGTATTTATGTGCCACGTGGTACGCCTCTATTGGAGCTCAATAGGTGGCTTGTAAGGGCTCGGGCTAATCTACCTTTGGCCGGGTAATTTACCATTGAGTGAGGGCTACGGCTCGAGGATAATGGAGGGATATAAGAATGGTTATTTGTGTGTATTGTAATATTTTTTATATTTGTTAGAATTATATTATTTTTAATTCTCACTTAGTAAGCACACACTTAACTGTTTGTACACACTACTATAAATTGGTATTGGTTACTGGGACTTTTGAGTCTCATTATGTGGTTAACAATTTTCAGGAGAAGAGCCACGAGTGACACGTGGAAGAGTCCCAGAGGCTTAGTGGCTTAGATCCACTGTCTCTTTTGGGTATTTGATTTATGATTTATAATGTGTTATATTGCCAATATTAGGGCTTTTTGTTTATTGACAATTATATGAATATATAAGTGTAATCATGTCTTTCAAACTATTTCTATTTTTGGTATACTTTGGATGACTGTAATTTTAATATTTGGTTTATTTTGGATTGGTTAAAATGGAAAGATTATGAGGCCAAATAACTGGTTTGTTTTGAAAATTAAATAAATTATTTATTTTACTTGTTGGGAGTATAAGGATAGACAAATGTGATTTAGTTTACTTGTTGGGAGTATAAGGATGGACAAATGTGATTTAGCCTAATGGCATGTGGGAGGTAAAAATTTATCTGAAATGTTATATTGTGCGAGTTGAAGTCAATTATAAAATATTTTTATATTGAATTTATTGATATAAAATGTGTTGGGTGGCTGTACCCTAACTATGATTGAGTTAAATTATTGTAAAAAAAAATTTGGTGTGTTACAAATCTGACATTATACAAAGAATTTGGACACCCGAGACTGTAATTTCATATTTTTGCCTCTAAAACCATCCACATGTCTAAATCTCACCATAAGCCATTAGCCCACACAAGGGCTTGAATTACACTTAATGAGTCCTAATACACTTTTTCAAATAGTCACAAGTATCAAACAATTTTTAATACAAGAATTAACTGCGTCACCACCATAAGGGCATATAATAAGGGGTGAAAATATAATTTTTTGCATTCAAGCTAAATAATCACCCAAAACATGTAAAACTCATTTAACTTGCTAAAATATACTTGTTCAAACTATTTTGGCACACTTTCATAATCAGATTAAGTGTTAGGATCCTCAAAACAATTCAAAAATGCCTAAAATCAAAGTTCAAGGTTACAATTGTAAGTAAACTTCAAATAAATATAAGTCAATATAAAAGATCCTTAATATTGACAAACTAATGTCAATTATACATAAGTTAACTAGAGACTTTACAAGATAAGCTGTAATGCTTTAGCATCGATGCCTCCCCCTTTCCCTTAGCTTTATTATCTCCTATAACGATACTAATAAACGAGAGTAAAATTAAACAATCCCAGTAACCAAGAAACTTAATTAAAGAATATTAAAGTGTAGCACGTATAAATGACTAGATAGTTTATATCACGTAGATCAATCACACATTAATCACATTATAACATAAGATAGTATGCCTCATGATCAATGCAATTATCTTACATCATCTAACTGAACCCATAGGCTAACAACTTGTATAG